TCGAAGCGGTCTTTTATTTCTAGAACATTGTCGAAAATTCGATGGGGGCTTGTAATAGAAGAAGGTATTATATTCGTAAAAATCCGTTAATATGCATTTGGTATATTTATAATGGACAGCCATTCCAAAAAGTCAATAAGTCGACATAAACCTGCGCAGTCTGTGATCACGCACAACTGAGTCGTGGCGCTAGCTAGAAAGCCATCATTACGGTGGTCAACCGTTATTTGTCGCCCCAAACGCCCATCGAGTCAACGCGCTTAAAAGACATACTCTTCGAATTCGACGACAATACTTGAAGTTGATCGTGTTCGTAAATTTTACCACCTTTTCAATCGAAAAAAAGAGCTCTCAAGCTGCACAATCGGCCAGGTATATACCGCGATTTTAAATTTTAACCGCATGTTCATATTTTTGACGCACCAGAAAGTTTTATACTTGCCTCAAAAGGCACTTATTGGGTAATTGCGAGCTGTACGGGATCACAATACTGAGATAATAACTTACGAGCGGTTGAGTGAAACAATTTCAGGATTCAGTTTATAGTGAGCCCAGTGTTTTGACCTGCGTATTCTTGACACATTCGTTTGAAACTATAATGATAAAAAAACATTTTGAGTCCAAGATTCACAAGTGTCAAGAAGCGTTCTATTTTAGTTGCCATGGGACTGCACACCCCTTTACCATTAGCTTCGATTACAGTAAATGTCCCCAAAACTCTTTCATACTAGCTGTGTTTGACGGAGCTGGAGTTGAGGTTCGAGACTTGGTCGTGTTGATCCTCCTCTCGATTGTTGTCTGCGCTAGCACCCTTACCATCATGACACGTGAGAGGACCATGAGAGACCAGACTGCATACCCATTGACATTTATAAAACTTGGGATGCCACTGGAAAAAGTAGCTATCCCAAAGGCGAATCATGGTGCAGCTTACCCAAGGCCAGATTGGGCCATCGTGCATCTTATAATTACTCGTTGTATATAAATATGGCTTCATTAGCACTGGTGTCCACACAGAGACCGTACTGCTCTTCACTTCGTTCACATCTCGCTGAAGTCGCGAGTCATACATGAATGTGCCATAAAGTCCCGAGGTCAGTGAGTTTGCTAGATGCAACAAGAATCTTTCGTTAAATTCAAACGAATAGGGATACTGTCGTTGCATTTGCCAGACGGCGTCGAGAAACTGTAACATGACGGGTGATGACTTATTGCGTTGTGGGTCCCGGCTACGATCACTACCGCACCTTTCTGCGTATTTGTGTCCGAATGCTAACCAGTCTTTTTCTACAAGTACAGCAAATCCACGAATAGTTCGGTAGTACGGGTCGATCATTAGTTGTGCAAGTGCACACAGCTGCGAAGTACGGTCCCAGCCATCGCTACAATGTACTAGCGCTGATGCTCCTTCTGATTCCAATACACGTGCGATCTTTAAAGCACCACCAAGCACCAATCGAACATGATCCAGCCATCTCGTCGATTCCACACTCGATAGCCAAGTACGGTCGTTGTCGTCCACACCACCTGGTAGGAGCAGCTTCATCAACCCCATATATGAAGACTGCATACGATACATGTTGGCGATGTTCAAATGATGGACAACGGCACCCGGGTAATCTTGAGGCGTCTCGACTCCACCTTTACCCATGAGACGATTTCCTGTTGAAGCTTTTGGTTTTCGCGCATCGAAAATATAAAGAGGCCGAGATGATTGAGATGATTGCGACTGGTTCTTGATGATATCAGGGAGTCGACGATACACTCCCAAAAGTAGCTGGTCCGACACGTTTGAGGTTCCTGAGAGCAAATTTCCCAAAAGGGGTTGGCTTGAGCGAGTCAGGACACACCTATTACGACGATGATAGTATGTTATCACAGGCAGCCGATTCTTAGCGCGAAAATCAGCCACTTTAGCCAACGTAACGGAAGTTGTAGATGCTGGAAGGAGCAGCTTTGACGGGTAAGTCTTGCAAATATTTCCCCGATCATTCTTGTAGAACTTTGATGTATGACAAAAAAGACAAGGTTGAGTCATTTGACACATTTAAATGGTAATTTAAAACATCTCGTACCTTCAGGTATGAGGAAACAGCAGGGTCTCCATCTATTTGGCGCCTAAACTCACGCTCGTCTACAAATAAATTCCAGCCATTTTTATCTGATGGGACATTGCCAATTGAATATGCCAACGCAAAAGATCCACTTTTCTCGCGAGAAATTGTCAAAATTGGATCTGAGGATAGCACTGGTAGTGCAGCATTAGCCGAACTTCGTGATGAGCTTAACGTCGAGTAAAGGTTGGGTTCCTTGCTATGATGCGGAAAATTGCCTTCACCACTTCCTTTTCGATCAAGTGTCCTATCGCTGTCACTAGCAAAATCCGAAAATATCTTAATTCCAGATAGTGTGGTTCTCATTGGACTGCCCCTGCTGACAACAGTATACCGCTGAGAAGCATCAGCTTCTTTTGCAATAGTTGCGCGAAGTTTATGCGCATGATCCTCGGCAATAGAAGGGTGGGTGTCTAGCTGAAATCGCATGATGCGAAAATCCTTACAGCTGATTGAAATAATG